CGTTAATAATAATTTTTCCTTGACGTTCCCAGTGGAACATAGGGCCTCACGCTAGTGGCTTGAAGTTTCTGTAGCAGTGTTTAATTTTACAGGATGGAGTTGCTAGCCTCATGCCCAACCATTCCTCTTTACCAGCATTATTTCTGGCTTAGCGAGGTAAAGGAGTGAGTCTGTGGCTGGGGATTGAACCCCAGACCATGTGCATGATCGGCGAGGGTCTTAACCGCTGTGCCCCCGACGCACAACAAATCAACTATTGATTATTATTTGTTTTATTTTGCACTCCGAGTGGAACATAGAGCTTCAAGCATGAGTCTTGAAGTTTCAGTAGCAGTGGTGGTGTTCCTTCTTTTACTGGGTGTGGTTGCTACCCTCACTCTCAACCCTCCCCTCTTTACTGGCCTTACTTCCGGTTAAGCAAGGTTTAAGAGCGCGTCCGCAGCGAATCGAATCCCGGACGAAGTTGGTGTTTGACGAGCATTCTACCAGTTAACCACCGATTCACAAAAGATTAGAAACAGCACTCTCTTCACAAAAGGTAAGGCAACCGATAAACACCTTAAAGATTTGCTCATGTTGAATGCCTTGATATGGTATACACAAAGGTCAAAATAGAACTGAGACATCCAAATAATCTATTAATATATAAACTACTGAATCAAGTTGCACTTTGCAGTGTATCTTTCGGAGTGATTTCAGACACTAACCAAATGTTTTAAAATGTACTAGAACTATGTAGATTTATTCTGCCTCTTAAGTTGTATTTCTGTTCTTATTCACCTGACTGCTGTTATAAAATGGAATAAAAGCAGTAACTGTAGAGGTTGATGTTTTACGCTTCTATCTCTTTCATTATGCGGTTACTCATAATTCATTTGTTGGTAGTATTCACGACGCCTAGCAGAGAGAAAAAACATTCTAAAAGACATGGTGGTGATCAACTACAGGTCTATTTATTCAACTGTGAACTGCATTATATGAAACTGTTTTTCAACAACAACCAGGTGCTTGTTTATACGCTTTCCAAAATGCAAGAATGACGTAAAACTCAGAAAGGTGTTGGTTTTTAAGGCGTGACACACAATCTAATCATTACAGAGAAGAGGCACAACTACACTTACTAAAACATTTTCATTACCTAACAATATATTGAACTTAAATATTATATACACCATGAATTTGTCACATTGAAGTAGTAGAAAGTACTGAGCCGAAAATCTCTGACTGATAGGATCCCGCATTGAGTAGTGTATCATCATCTCTCGCGCATATTGTGATTAATTATGCGATCAATCATTTCTCACAGCTGTGAGGCCGACTTTATTGTTGTAAAGAAAATGTGTAAATACTGTGTGTTGTTATCCTAATTGTCATTGTTGTTGTGATCACAATATACAGTCACAGACCAGCCTTTGTCTTTTGATATTTGCAAGGCTCAGTGAGTCGGAAGGCAAAACGGGTGAATAGGCACATTAGGCAGGCGAAGACAGAACAAAGTGACTACGGTTCGCACTTAATTCAGTATCAGTTATAACAAACTGGCGACGGGGTTATTTCAGTTCACTGAAGTTATAACACTGACCTTGATTCAGTTGTGTTTTCTGAGGTGGTGGAATTAATTGCGAAGCTTTCGTTGTTTAGACAACGCCTGCAGAGGAATTTTCAGTATGAACTGAAGTTGCTTGAACTCACTATGGATAAATGTTGTCTAGAAGGACATCGGAAGCTTCATAATTAAATCAACCAGCTCAGGGAACACAAGTAAATCAGAGTCATTCACCTCAGCTACAAATCTTCTCTGTTATTCCAAAATCTGTGGCTTTATTACATATCCTATTCTCCAGTGGGTATTTATGTCTACCAGACAATTTCTATTCAGTATGTTCCCACATAAGTGAAAGTGCGAGTACAAATGTTCAGTGTTTATCATTGCATTAGTGGAATACCTCGAAGAATTGTAAGAACGGAATTCCCAAGAGAGAGTGTACTTTGTTCGTAAACAACTATGAGAACACAGCTCCTAACAGTGCTCTGCTGCCTGGTACATTGAAATTTATGTCAGAAGGTGGTAACATACCCTTTGTACGAATCCAGGGAATTACTTCTCCCTCTCACAAATTATAATGCAATAATGAAACGAAATCTTTAGTTGAAGTAATCGCTTTTTGAAAAAGTCAGTTTAACTAAGGCGTGAATCTTACATCGATGGTTTAGTGGTGGAATACTCACCAACCATGTAAGTGGTCGGGATTCAACGCACTCATAAACCTAGCTCAGTTTGATAGTAAGGCCTGAGAAGAGGTAGTTTTGGTATGAGGTTACCGACCCACCCAGTAAAACGACAGTACCATAGCTACTGAAGATTCAGAACTTAGATCTTTATGCTCCACTCAGAAGGCAAGGAATGAAAAGAGCATCATGAATCTCATGCTACTAATTGAATAAGATTGTTTGTCTCTTCTTGAGACACTTATTAACATCTTAAAAGCTCTATTCAAAAATGTCGCAGGTCTCGTGGAGGCTTTCGGTCACCTGTTACTGTTCCAAAATATTAAGTGTTACGTAGGTTGACCAATCTATAACTTTACCAACAATGATATTCTGTACGTAACTCCGTCGAACATGAGTGGCGATGATTTGGAGCTGCTAGCGGAGCTCACTGGCTTGCTTATGTATCATAAACGTCATTTCAGGGATTTCGATAGTGTTTATTTCCACATCCAGTTTTAATGACAGCCATCCTCTCCTATTGGTATTTTCAGACTTGAATGTAAGCGTTGTTATACACAGTGCATTCCAACGATAATAATTATCTGACATATTAGATGTGAAGAGAAGTATACCGATTCTAAAAACGCGATATGCGTAAACTCTGCATGCCGAAATTTTATAGAAGCCCACAAAATTAAGGAAACAGAAACTTAATGATTTTTTCTGACTATAAATGAATAATTCCAGCCTAATGACTCATTAAATGCACTGTTCAATAAGAAAAATAGTGCACCATTACGAGAAGTGCCTCCGCATTGGTCACTCTTAATGGATGGAGATTAACAGCAAACAAAATACAAGGGATAGATCGTATAACATATGCATCATGAATAAGATATTCACATATGAGACTATTTTAATAACTTATTATGGTCAAAATGTACACTAGTTATGTGAAACTTGAAAACCAGTGAGATATCTTAAACAGTAAAAATCAAATTTGCAATTTATACAGTTTGAGGAGGTGAAGTTTCACCAGTTTCACGACCTTCGGTCGATAGCCATATATCATGTCTACACTAGATATAGCATAAGTTGGCAGGCGAATGTCACACAAGTCTTCTGTATCTATCCTGAGATTTCGTCAGCAGTCAGCCCACTAGAACTGGCTGATGGAACTCCCCATATCAGTGAAACGGTCAACACACTGTACCACTTCACTACCTATCTTTAAGCTAGGAGCAGTCACAATGTAGTTCACTAATGTAGCCACATCATCTTACATTTAACAGAAGTTGTTGATAAGTTTGTGTACCTGGGTAGTTGTGTGAGTGCTGGCGGATGGGTGACGGATGAGATTTCCAACCGTATAATGAAGGCTAGGGTGGCATACATCAACTTGAGCCACCTATGGCGCCGTCGCGACGTTAGCTTGGCTGTCAAAGGTCGGGTATACAATGCTTCGGTGCAGGCTGCGCTGCTCTACGCCTGTGAAACCTGGTCTCTCCGAGCTGAGGATGTGCGGCGACTCTGCGTGTTCGTTCATCGCTGTCTCCGCAGGATTGCTTGCGTTCGATGGCATCATCGCGTGAGTAATTCTGAGGTTCGGCGGCGTGTGTTTGAACAAAGTGGAGATCACCATTCATCGAATGTCGTCATCTGGAAACACCGGCTCCGGTGGCTTGGACATGTGCTCCGAATGTCATCCCAGAGGCTTCCGTACAGGTCTCTGTTCGCTAGCCAGCCCTGGGACGGGATGAGAAAAGCGGAGAGGTGGTCAGTCTCTGACGTGGCATCGTGGGATGAGGGATTTTTGTGCTAGATTAGCATCGGTTGGTGTGTCACGACTCCCTGGTTGGGGTCCGAGAGATAGCTCAAACCGATGACTCGAAACATCGGATATGGCCAAGAATCGTAATCAGTGGCGAATGTGTTGCGATTTCCTTCTTTCTTCCCTTCCCGATGATAGCTAACGAACACTGTTTGAACTTGTTAAGCATGACTGTTTTCCTTCCAGATGAAGTTCTTTATCCGTTCTCTACTTATTTAGATTTTTTCTTTTCCTTCCTTTTTTTTGATCTATGTTGTTTTATTATCATTGTGTGGCGCATCCTTTTGGTGCCATATTGTACCAAGTTTTTTATGCGTTTAAATAAAATAAAATAACATTTAACAGAAGCGAATCGCATGCTAAACATTCAAGATTGCTTCCCCTTAAGGGGTTCAGAAGACTCTGCATTTTGTCAGCGTCTTCACCTAGAAGGACTACATTATCTGCATAGTCTAAGTCAACGAGATTATTCCCCGATAGTAACAAGTCAATCCCTGAGTCGCTGAAGTTAGTTAGGGTTAAGTCCATTAGTGTATCTATGATGAAATTAAACAGAAATGGGGACAGTAGGCATCATTGACGGACACCACTGGTTGTCACCACCTCATAAGTCAACTCTTCGTAGGCTCTCACCTGGTTGACTGAATAAGTTCGAGTAAAATGCACTGATTAGTCCGATGTATTTTCTCGGCATTCCCTCCACAAACAAACATCTCCATTGTACCTCTCACCACACTAACTACCTATCACATTTCCATATTATGTTCTTTTGGCAGTAGACCATAATGGAACACTTGGCTGAAACACATATATATGTTGCTACACACCTTCACTACAAATAATTAACATGAGAAACTAAAGATTAAAAGTAGATATTAAACAGTGACACCGGTGATAGACGTAAAAACCCTAGTATAAAGAGTAGTAATATTACAACATTAAAAATTTGAAAACTTACGGTTAGTTCCAATATCATGGTAGGTGATAATTGCAGTCTTGTTTTTGTTAGGCTGAACATATACCCGTTGGTAAAGACCAGAAGAAGTCAGTATTTCATGTTCCTATTTGTTAATTAAAGAAAACGCGATTTTAACAGGTCAAATAAACACTAATGTAAGAATAAAACTTGTGCACTGTGGTAGAGTGTAATTCCATTATGGGTACCCATAACAAGTAAACACTAATCAATCGATTTTGTGATAAAAACAATTCTAGCAAAGACACTGTAAAATGTTTTTAATTCAGTTTTAAAAAAATACTAGAAACCATCATTGTCTTGAATATACAGACCCTGACTGAAAGTACAAGCAATTGGTCACAGAACCGGTGTGTAGAAGAGCACCTTTATAAATCTATATCCTATGATCATGAAAATATGGTGATATAGACCCAATTTGTCTGTACGAAGCCTTTCAGATTATTGTACTTACTCCTTAAAAACAGAACCCCATTAAATTAACACAGTGGTAAGTAGAGATGGGGGTTATTGACTTTAACACTCAATTTTCAGCCCATGCGTACACGGCTCCAGTCAGTGATTAGATTAGAACCCTAAACAAGAGCCCATGAGTTCAACTTGATACACTTCCCAAAACAATACGAAAGAAGAAAATGGACAGAAGGGTACTGCATTGAGTAAACAAGTGGGTGGAAAATTAAATGAGTGCTGCGCGTCCATTCTGTTTAATTTCTTATCACTCAAGTTGTTTATAAATTAATATATTTAATCTTGATATTACTTTGTGTGATGTCACTTAAAGTGATTAACTGAAGAAAGGTACGTCTCTAACTTAATAAATACATTTCTGAGAAGTAAATTTATGAATTATACGAACATATCGGTAACTGAGAAAGAGATTAAAGCACGCAAAAGCACCTTACAAAAAGATCAAGAACAACCAAAGGTATATTTACAGTCAGTTGAATTTCCTCCTCATTTGATTGTCTCGAATAGTGTGCATTTAAATCTTTGTCACAGTGAAGACTCAATTTGCGTCTTGGCGTAGATGTAGTAATTTAGGCCAAAACGAAATGAAATATTCATACACTTAAGCAGCAGCTGATAAGAAGCTGTTACGAAATAGTTTATAGTTCACGACACAACATTCCTCTTACCTCTAAATTAGCTGTAGTCCGACGAGCACAAAATGAATGTTTTCCACTGTCTCCCTTTTCGTGCGACTGTAGTTCAATACCCTGAAAATTCACCGGAGGGCAATCCATTGTACTATGCTTCCTAGAAAAAGAAGTTACATAAGAAGGTTTCACGTCCTCACACAGAATAAATTGTTAAGTCTCGCATTAAACTGACTTCGCATAGCAGTCAGAAAAAATTGGTGTGAATTATTTATGATGTCAACATTCACATAATATTTAGCACAGTCTATAAATAACTGAAATCACCGACATCTGTTATTTTCGAAGATGCTAACCCAAACAGGTTTGAAGACAATACTTCCAGAAATACAAAAACTGAACCTACTGCACGCCAAGATAACGACCCAGAACCGACTGTCCCCACTCATAATACTAGTCTACTAAAATAAAGCACTGCACTGTATAATACCTGATGCAAGACTAGTGAAAGAGCCAAATAAAGTGAAAAGCAGAAAAAAGTGGGTATAAGAAAGATCGATTTTAGATAAACATTTCTAATAAAGTCTACTGTAACTTAATGAACACTAGTCAAGAGGCAGGCAATCTCTTCATGCTAAACTCAAGAGCCACAAAGGGTCTCTTGTCATACCCCTATTTGTGTGAATTAAAACTGCATCACTATTGCGACTAAAATTTAATTACAGAAGCCCTATTGCCCCTAATAACTACTGCTAAGTCTATCTGTTGATTCAAATATAGGAAGATTGCTATTTTGAAAAAGTATAACAGTCTTTGAGCAAATAAGGAAGTTGCAAATTTATGAATTAAGCGTTATTCATAATTGACTGTAAAATTTAGCACTACTAATCCCAAACCAGAACTGTAATGAAATAAACGTGGAGGACATGCGTCACTTATAATACATATTTTCAACTTATATGCTACTACTATGGTCATGTAAGAGGATATAATCAGAAAGTTCGCAGTACGAATGTTGCATGTTCAGACGTTCTATTTGCTCATCAACTTGCGGAGCTGTAAAATCATCCACCGTTAAAGGTCTCAACTAATTATTAGGGCTTATTATTAAGGTTGGTATAGGAACACTTGGATTATCACCAACACTCCTGAAGAACACTACGCGAAAAAATTTTAAGATCTAAAGCGCCTTATTGCAGTCAGATATACACACAATCACGAAATCTAGCAATTCAGTAGTCTTATAGTGCTATAGTGATAACCAGGAATGGTGAAATATCCTCCATGGAGACACTACAACTGTAAGTTGTATTTATTTCATATTCTTTTAGACTAGCACCTCGTGTGATAGTCAGTAAAATGTATAAAATAAAATTAACCACAGCGATTTCCCAACAAAGCTCGTTAAACAATAACATGCTCACAGTTGTAGGCGATATTAGAAGAAACCACGTACCGTTGTAAACAATATCCAGCGGTTCCAAATAAGAGAAATCACCTCAAGTGAACTCTGCAATTGACGCATGTAAACAAAAATAGATCACTTCACAATATCTGATAACTTTAGATGTCATATTAAGTTTCGTCCTACATATTAGAGTATCTTAGATTCCAGACGAATGTGCTTCTATTATTGATTTTGGAAGACGCTTTCATTTTGGCAGTGGGAGTGGCTGTATACTGGGAAGGTACAAAATAATCCTACATTAGTCCAGTCTCCAGTAGAACTACATGTAGAACATGTAATCCCTGTATTTCTATGCAGCATCACCTAAATAAATGAGCATTTGGAAATGTCCAATTTCTTTTACTGTTAATTTTCATGCTCCTAAATGTAGGTCATGCCACTCACAACAATTTATAAAACAGCTCGTCTATAGCCGGACATGCATGGAACGAAAACCACAATATTGATGGAAAAAATTTATCCTGAAATCTAATATGAGCAAATGTAAAAAGAGACTTTTAACAGAATCTGTATCAATTAAGCTCATATTGGATACTTGTAACATATGTGACTCAGTACAACTGTCAACAACCTGGAATACGATTCAGAATACGCAAAATTGAATGAGCCGAAAATGAACTATAAATGAATATAAATCATAAACGTGTGAATTGAAAAACAAAACAATTCCAACAGTGGTGTGATCGAGGGCAGTAATTTTACTCAAAAAATGAACAAAAACAAGAATTTATCATCGTGTATAAACTCCTAAAATATAATTATAACGAATTTGACCTGTTCCGCAGTGCTCAAAATTTTTAATGACATTAATGGAAGGCGTATTTGTCTGCCAACTTACAGCTTTTCGGTCCCTCATTCCATAAAGTAAATCTATTTAACCCTATCAGAATGTATCAACCGTGACTAGAAAAAGTGAGGAAATGGTAATATATGATTCACTGACCTATGAAGTAGATTTTGATATCACCGTTGAAGAGCCCAAAACTTGTATTAGCTACCTGCATTTTGAGCGTAGCCGAATGCTGCTCGATAACAGTGCTGTTATACAAATAAGTCACCTAGAACGGAGGTGGTTTACACCTCATATCAAACATGGTGCTGCTGTTTATATTAATAACTAATTTTGGTCAGCATATAACGTAAGTCACGACATGACACTCATTGGGCGTGTCGTTTTGGTATCGATTCCTCATAGATATGTGCATGTAGCAACGAGGTTGTCATGGTGTGTCCTACATAGGTAGGAATACATATGTATTTTATTACATTGTTATTAAATATGCTTAGCAATCGTATATGTAATTTACCATACTGATGATGCCTGTAAGCTGGCGTCCCTCATGTACAAAAGATGGGAATATATATTAATTATTACTAACCCATACCGGGGTAGATTTAACTCTTCGGCGAGAGGGTGGTAAAAGAACATGGGTCAACTTGTAGGAAAAACAAGTTTCAGCTTAGTTTGTTTGTTTTTTCATAGTGGTTCCATCTGCGTTCTACTTCAGAAATCAGAGTAACCAAGACCACATTTTAAGCGAAAAGCTCCTAATGCGAAACAATGTTGAGCTCTGTATCATTTAAATTTGTCGTTGCGTCTAAATCCTTCGAGAATAATCGGCAATGTTCTTAGATAAGGTAAATGTGCACTTTGCACAGTAACAATCTTGTTTCCCAACAAAAGAAATCGCAAGTGAAGCAACCCACAAACCAAAGTGTTTTTGGTCAACCGTAATCAGATTGTTCAAAGAAGGTGAAATTACTGGAGTGCCTAATGTCATAGTCTTCTGTAAATAGAAAGACATTTTAAGAAACTGTCTCGTAGTAGGAAATAGTTATGGGGCCTATTAAACTCCAGAAAGATTTTACGACTCATGCCTAAGCACTTTGATATCAGGACCTGGCTAAAACTTTGCTTGTGGGATCTAGTTGTTAGAGGCTAAGATTCTGGAAACTCTAACAACATACATAATCGCATAACACAGACCGAGCCTCGAATTGTTCGAGATCGCTTTCATGGATGAGTGAATAATCAGGTGTCTAGAACATAAAGTTTCGTGCTGAGCTTTGGACTATAATTCTTTGATTTTGCAGGATAGAGTGTAGAATTCCGGACAAAGTTTTTGGAATATGACCTGGATACGAGTGACAGGGATTAGTACTCCTATTCCCAGTAGTGGCTATTGCGGGGCCTCTACGCGCTATGAATGCCCTTCCGTGTACTTGACTAGGTTTCCCCAAATTCACTTGCCCTTTGCTGTGTTTTCGAAGATGGAAGTTTAGAAACGACCTGGCTGGTATAATACGACGAGCTGTTGGTCGGTAATTTGAATAATTATTTCGGTGGAAAATTGAGTTTCTGAATCACAAGCAGTTGCGCACACAACACACACCTACTAACGAATGAAAACAGGAAGCACCCCACATAACTTCAAGAGAATATAGATATAATCCTTTCCCACCGAGATTCGGACAGTCACACTGCAGGGGTGAAGAGCTCAGATTATGTCGAACGGACACTCTCAGATAATACCAGATTCTTCAAATCACTCAGCCAGAAAGACACAGCAGAAAGAAAATAAAAACCCCTTATAAAATGACTGAAGAAAAAAGAAAGAAAATCCACTCATGAAGTCGGAGATTCATCAGCAGATATGATCATGTGGCTTAATCCTCCCACGACTATGTGGACTGTCCAGAGTGCATAAGAATGATGTACCACTTTCACCTATTATAGGCATGGTCAACTAACCATAACATCTGATCGCAAAGTGGCTAACACATATTGTTGAACCAGTAGGGCGACATATGACAAGGTATATCCTTAAAGACATTGGAATTCGTCCATTAAGTGAAACCTATCAGTGCATCTGAAAGATAAATGCCCCCTCTAAATATCAGCCACCTGTTTACAAGCATCCGTCGAACCGAGGCTATCTGCTATATATGCAACCACACTGAAACTAACAACTGAAAATATATCCTCCCCAATAACTTCCTGAGGTAATTAATTCTCGGACGCACGCTTTATATTCGGTTCGAATTCAACAGGCAGTTTTATGTTCGGCATGAAAGCGGGTCTTTTAAGTCTCCTTCTTGTCCATTCTCTGTTTCATGTTTCATCGTGAGTCTCGAAAACCACATCATTGATTTTCTGAGAAGATAGTGTAGATCGAATTTTTCGCCACAAATTTATTTTTTTTATTATAGCTTGAAACCACACATTATCGATAAGATTTTATTTTGATAAATCACACAGTGCTGTACAGTTATATTAACTGATGACGTTTCGAGCACAAACTATTGCTCATAATCATATGAAGTTACTCACACAACTTTGTTCTTTCATTTATATACATGTGTGGAATCGATTAGATATTGGATTAAAAATCAATGTGAGATAATGTACACTCAGAAATAATAGTACGAGTGTTGTTGATCAATTGCAATTAGATGGGAAAAGGGACGAGTGTTTTTTACAGTCATAATATGCTACTTGTTAGAATGTTGTGTTTCAGTGTGTTTGAATTGAAATAGAATTTTAAGATTATTTATCTTCTTCTGATTTGACTGATGGCAATAATACGAGTGTTACTGATCAACTATAATCAGATGGGAAATACGACGAGTGTTTTAACAGTCATCCAATCCAATATCGTTTTTACGAGCTAGTATAAAC